TTCTTGCTGTCTGGGGAAAACTACATGGACATTAAAATGTTAGATCATCTGAAGAAAGTAAATTTTGACCTCTCTAGTCATTTCTTACTGACGTCTTTCTCAATAAAACTTTATTGAGATGGAAAAAATATATTTGGTTGGTGCAAATGTAATTGTGGTTTTTGCTATTTAAAAGTAATGGCGCTGCCAGGAGTGATGCCTCACACCTGTAATCCCAGCCCTTTGGGAGGCTGAGGTGGGTGGATCACCTGAGGTAAGGAGTTTGAGACCAGCCTGGCCAATATGGTGAAACCCCATCTCTACCAGAAAATATAAAAATCAGCTGGGTGTGGTAGTGGGTGGCTGTAATCTCAGCTACTTGGGAGACTGAGGCAGGAGAATCACTTGACTCTGGGAGGCAGAGGTTGCAATGAGCCAAGATTGCACCACTGCACTCCATCCTGGGTGACAGAGCAAGACTGTATCTCAAAAAAATATTTAAAAAAATAAAAAAAAGAAAAGTAATGGCAAAAACTGCAATTATTTTGTACCAACCAAATGGTAACAGAATTGAATTTGCAGCTGAATCCACTCTCACCTGGACTCTTGTGAACAGTTCCTCATTCTCAGCTACCTGCCCAGATCATTCATTTAGGGCTTAGCAAAGTTTGCATCGTTGGTCATCTTTTTGTTTTATCCACATTTTCTGCTGATACTCTTACCTGCTGGAAGGTGAGTTACTGAAGCAACCCTGTCTTTTTCCCCTCTATATCCCCAGCCATTTCCCAGATCCTGGCCAGCAGAGGTGTCTGATCAGTGGGGGCTGATTGAACCTGATTCAATGAAGCAATGGCTCCCATAGGCCACGCTGAAATTCCTTTCTCCACCATTAACAGCTCACATCATTCAGGGCCTGAGAGTGAAGCTGGAGACTTGGCATTTGGATTGCTGCTTGGACAAACCAAAAGAAAGCCCAGGCCAGAATAAAACTCAAACAACATCTGAGCTTACATTTTCATCTTGCAACTGAGAAAAGGGAGACTCTGAGCAGGTAAGAGTATCATTCATTTGACATCCCTGGTAAGCAATGAAGTTGAACTAACCCTTGTGTTGCTTGGCTTCCAGCCCAGTCTCCTTCCCCTTTGTCACCAGGCCTTTCTGCTCTGAGGGATGTATGCCACTCCTTTTATACTGGCACAGAACATTTCCTGTTAAGCATCGTGCCATCTCCAGGAAAAGGAGCCTCCTCCCAGCCTGCCTTAGGAGAGCTCATTTTTCACTTACAGCTCTTGGCAATAAACAACTCAGGTGCAACGGGATTTTTTTTTAATCATCTGAAAATATTTTATTTTGTTGTGCTTTTTCATGAGTGCCTGAATGTGGCTCTTAGGGTAACCCCAGAATCCTCACTGTGTCAATGAGACCTGGTTACCACCCTCATCTTGACCACCATGGCCTTCACTGCAGCCCCACTCTGCCTGTCTGCAGGCTGCTGGCATGCCAGCACCCACTGGCCAATCATCCTCTGGCAGGATAAAGTCCTCTGTATTCAGAGGCTGGCCCTGCTTTCTTGAGACTCAGGAGGTGGCAGAGGGTCAGCAGCCAGGCCCCCCCATGCAGCCAGGAGGGGAGGAAGAGTATGCTGGGGATTCTGGGGAAGAAGATGATGTGGAAGATGGCCGACCACTAACAGCTCAGGATTGTAGCTCCCAGTGAAAGCTCAGAGAACGAGACGACGCCACATCTTTAGACGAATTTTCGTCACTCACCGATTAGCCGATTCCCAGTGGAGGAGCCCCACGGGTCGCCAGCGCGACTCTTGTGGCCGCCACAGCGGTTTTGCCGGCGTCTCGGCGCAGCAGCTCTTCACGCAGAGCCAACGGGACTGCTTCCCCTACTGACCAGAGTTTGGAGCTCCGGGAAGTCAGAGCCGCTTGTTGCGGACTCAAGAGGGAAGCCAGACCAGAGATTCCCGGGCAGAAGAGCACCATCAGTCTTATCGCTGCTATTTAGGCTGCCACAGTGGGTGGCTCGGATCCCAGCACTGGGAATCAGTAAGTCAGACGTCGACTCAGAAAACTAATTAGAAAGGCGGTTCATCTATAATGAAGGGAAAAAAACAGCCTAAGAAGGCCGAATATACTCAACATCAGAACCCATCAGCAACGGAACAAGCCCTGATGGAAAAGGACTCGTCAGCAACCGAACAAGCCCTGATGGAAAAGGACTCATCAGTAACGGAACAAGCCCTGATGGAAAAGGACTGTGTTCCATTATCTGAAGTAGGCTTTAAAAGGTGGATGATAAGAAACTTCTGGGAGTTAAAGGAACTTGTTCTAACCCAATGTAAAGAAACTAAGAACTTGGAAAAAAGGTTCGATGAAATGTTGAAAAGAATAGACAATATAGAGAGGAATACAAATGAACTTATGGAGTTGAAAAATACAACACGAGAACTGAGTGAAATATGTACAAGCTTAAACAGCCAAATGGATCAAGCAGAAGAAAGGGTATTAGAGGTCGAAGACCAACTCAATGAAACAAAACAACAAGACAAGAATAGAGAAAAAAGGATAAAAAGGAATGAGCAAAGTCTCCAAGCAATATGGGAGTATGTGAAAAGACCTAATATACGCTTGATTGGTGTACCTGAATGTGATGGAGAGAATGAAGTCAAGCTGGAAAATACTCTCCAGGACATTATCCAGGAAAATTTTCCTAATTTAGCAAAGCAGGACACTATTCAACCCCAGGCAATACAGAGAACACCACAAAGATATTCCTCAAGAAGACCAACCCCAAGGCACATAATCGTTAGATTCACCAAGATCGAAACGAAGGAGAAAATATTAAGGGCAGCCAGAGAGAAAGATCAAGTTACCCATAAAGGTAAGCCTATTAGGCTTACAGCAGATCTCTCAACGGAAACCCTACAAGCTAGAAGAGAGTGGGGGCCAATATTCAATATACTTAAAGAACAAAACTTTCAGCCCAGAATTTCATATCCTGCCAATTTAAGCTTTACATTTGAAGGAAAAATAAAATCTTTTAGGAACAAGCAAGTACTCAGAGATTTTATTACCACCAGGCCTGCTTTACAAGAACTTCTAAAAGAAGCATTATACACAGAAAGGAACAACCAGTATGATCCTTTCTAAAAATACACCAAAAAGTAAAGAGCATTAACATAAAGAAGAATTTTTATCAACAAAAGGACAAAATAGCCAGTTAATATCAAATGGCAGTAACCCTAAAGTTAAATCAACCAAATCTCCCAATCAAAAGATACAGACAAAATCCAACGGTATATCCAAAGATATACATAGACTCAAAATAAAGGGTTGGAAAAAAAAAAAACGTATCAACCAAATGGAGAGCAAAAATAAATAAATAAAAAGCAGGAGTTGCAATTTTCACATTTGACAAAATAGATTTCAAAGCTATAAGGATACAAGGGTAAAAGGATTAATGTAACAATAAGAGATCTTAACACCCAGATACATAAGACACATAGTGAGATTTAGATTGAACGAGACAACAAATTGATAACGATATCCAGGATTTGAACTCAGAGCCAGAACAAATAAATACAATAGAGGTCTCCATTTTAAACACATAAAATATGCATTAACCACTTTAAACACTCAAAATATTGATCGGCCATTATTGAAACCCATTTTAGGAATGAAGTAATATTCCTTTTTTCCTCTTTTTCTTTTTTTCCCCTTCTTTTTCTCTTTTTCCCTAAAAAAAAAAATAAAATAAAATAAATAAAAAAAAAAAGAATTAGGCATGCCATGTTGTTGCCATGTCTCTCCAGCCCCCTGTAACCAAGAACAGTCCCCTGCAAAAAAAAAAAAAAAAAAAAAAAAACCAAGGAGAGGTTGTAGGATCCCTGTTTTATAGCCGGTCAGTCGGAAGCACAGGCAAAACAACCTGGGGCTTGCTACTGGCACTGGAGTGGGGGCAGTCTTACAGAACTGACCAACTGCGGGATCTGACCCTATCTCCAGGTAGATGCTCTCAGAACGGAACTGGAGGATACTCAGCTCGTGTCTGCTGCAGAATTGCTTGCTTGCTTGGTCATGGAAGTCTTCTGTGTTGACTGTGGTATGAGAGTAGAGAAAGACCAGTTTGAGTTTTTGTACTATCAGAAGATGTTAAATATTATAAAAGGTTTTATAGCCTCAATGGAGGCATATGGTTTTTCTTCTCAAAGTTATTAATATGGTGTATTAATTATATTAATGGGCTTCCTAATATTGAATCAACTTTGAATTGCTGGAATAATTCCCAGTTGGCCACGGTGTATTATTTTCTTAATGTGGTGTTAAAAAAAAAAAAAAAAAAAAGAAGATGATGTGGTAGTCACTGAGGCTCCAGCCTGCTGGAGAGGAACACTGAAGGGGAGGGACCTGGCCTCAGGCTGGCCATTCCCTGCTGGCAGTGCTGTGTGTGGGATCTGCTATTCCCTGCTGGCCCTGCTATGTCCTGGGGGAGACAGTGCATGAGGGCTTCCCGCTGTGTTTGCTAACATCCCCACACAGGTGAGTGCCTTGGACCTCTGGCAAGACATGAGCTGAGACCACTGGTCCCTGGCACACTGCAGTGCACATGCCATTCCTGGCCAGAGGTCCCCAGGGGCGCCATGCTCTCCAGGCCCCTGCCCTGCCTGCATGCACAGCCTGGGGCCTGGTGCACTCTCTGTCTCTCCCCGCCCAGGTCCACTGCAGCTGAGCGTGTGGGAGAAGCCTCTCAACTTCACACACTTGTCGCCTCTAGCACTGGGCAAGGTCTGGCATTCACAGTTCTGAGAAGTCCCCAGACAACAATGGCTAAGGCTGCCACTTTCCTCCAGGAATGTGGGAGCAGGAAACATCAGAGCAGCCATCTCTGAAGCACCAAGAGTAAACATGATGTTGGGAAAGACTGAATATGCCACCCACCTAACGCTGAAGGACGGGAATGTTCCCATCAGCACTGCAGAGCACATACACAGGCACCAGAGAAAAGGGGGTTATTCACAGGCCAAAGCAAAGTAAGAAAATCATAACTGTTCCCCTTGTTCCAAAGAAACATCCACGTGTAGAGGGGCAGGCAGCTTCAGCCCAAGGTGCTCCTGACGAGGGCTCCTCGTGGCTGCCCCAGGACAAGCAGGACCCCAGCGGTCCTGTGTCTGAGTCCTTCTGCTCCCCATTGGCACCCACAGTAAAGGGCAGGTTCCGCTTGCTGGCTCGCTCCCTCACCTCCTTCCTGCCATCACCACTCTCCAGCTTTGGGGTCTTGGTTAGAGAAACTTTATCCTTTTTACCAGTCCACTTCTCCAGCATGTCGCTGTAGAGGGAAAGGCTTTCCTGCTGTGGCACTTTGGGGCACCCACCCTTGGGCATCATCCTGCTCCGCACCTGATATTCATTTACACGGCTGGTGCTTAATCATCAACTGTCTGCGATTCCGTAGCTGAAAGTCAGTGCTGATGAGGACTGTCTCTTTTGCTGTTGTTGTTGTTTTTTTAAGACAGGGTTTCACCATGTTGGTCAGGCTGGTCTTGAACTCCCGACCTCAGGTGATCTGCCCGCCTTGGCCTCCAAAGTGCTTGGATTACAGACGTGAGCCACTATGCCCAGCCGAGGACTGTCTCTTAAATTCAATGGAGGTGTATCCCAGAGCAGGGCTGTATATAATTGGGCTCTGAGGGCTATGCAGCTCAGCTGTGGCTCAGCGGCAGGGTCTGGGCTCGACCCGAGCGGAGCTGCCAGGGCTGGCGGGAGGCGAACCTGCCCCTCAGGCGCACCCATAGCTCGGGCGAGCACTGCCACTCCCGATGTGGACGCTACCGAGGGGCAGTCTGGCCATGAGCTCAGTGGCCACGCCTCCCTGGCTGGGGCCCTCGGTCCAGCGCGCACCTTCTCAGGGAGGCCTCGGGATGTTTCTTACAAGGAGCAGCCACGCAGTGATTGCTCCACTCTGAGGGTCCGACTCAGCCCTTCCTCAGCTTCTGGGCTTATTTTAGCTGCATGTTTCTGGAGGAGGAAATGAGAACATGATCAAGAATGCTGTGGGAAGAGCCTGGGGCTCTCCAGTTCTCTTGGGGAGCCTTGGGAAGCTCCTTACAGTTCCAGCTGCCATAGAAATTCACAGCCAAGGGCTCCTACAGAATTGGGCTGCCAGCCTGACCAGGCTGGTGGGTGTGCCCCACTGTAAGAAAGCCTGCCATTTGGAAATGAGAATTAGAGCAAAAGGATAAATTTGAGGTTGACTATTGACCTAGCAAAGAGTTTCTCTCCTTTCTTTACTAAAAGTGGGAAAATAGAAAGAACAAGTCTATTGACATCTCAGATTCCATTTATGAGCCATGAAACCATGGGCTTGGGATTCACCTTTCTGAGACTGGGAACTGTAGGGGATGAGTCTTGGGCTGGGTCTTGAAATACAAGGGAAGAAGGTGGAAAGGGAGTTATAGGCAGAAGAAGGGGTCTCGGCAAATGCCTGGAGATGTGAAAATGCATAATGTATTCAGAAAATTGTCTGAAACGGCTACAATCAAGTCAGACAGGGAAAATAGATGGGATCAGTAGCAGCCTCCTCCCTCTTCCTGCATGTTTCTGCTTACACGATTTTGCTTAAATCACTCTCTTTACCTGAAGGCTTTCCCTGTTCTCTCTGGCTACCAAATTTTCCCATTGTCACTGCTATGTGCTCCTTCTCTCCTATGAAGCATTTCTTGCTGCCCTAGTCCACAAGGTCCCCTCCACTGGCCTCTATCATCCTACTGAGTAGCTGGGATTACAGGCATACACCACCATGCTTGGCTAATTTTTTAAATTTATTTTTTTAGTAGAGATGGGGTTTTGTCATATTGGCCAGGCTAGTCTCGAACTCCTGACCTCAGGTGATCCACCGACTTCAACCTCCCAAAGTGCCAGGATTACAGGCATGAGCCACAGCGCCCCACCAAATTTGGATTTAAATAGCCTCACATGTCTAATGGCTACCATTTTAGACAGTACAAATTCTAGATTTATTGCTCCTCTCTGTTTACTTCTGTGACCCAATAATCTGTGTAAAGTTTTATTAAGAGTCTAATCTTTTTTAAAAAAAAATATGGAGTGTCACCATAATGGCCAGGCTGGTCTTGAGCTCCTGACCTCAGGTGATCCACCCACCTTGGCCTCCCAAAGTGCTAGGTTTACAGGCATGAGCCACTGCGCCTGGCTAAGAGTCTAATCTTGAAACAGCTGTTATGGAAATGTAGTGGAGGAGTTTGTTTCTCCTCCTGACTTGGGCCAGTGCATCACAGGAAGCATGTAATCACAGCATTGAAAGCATTTCATGATCTGGCCAATCCTGTGCCTCTTTAGCAATCTGTGCATTTTCCTGTGCTCATATATTTAGTGTCATCCTCTACTTATCCAACTGTATTCAATGGGATACCTGGTATATGTGCACAAATAGAATCGTCTTCAGCTAGAAAACCAGAATGAAATTTCATCATTTGGAGCCACACTGTTGAACCTGAAGGACATCACAGTATATGACCTAAGACAGGAAGAAAAAGAAAACTAATAATACCAAGAGTTGGTGAGAATGCGCAGCAACCAGAATTCTCCTGCATTGCTGGTGGGAATGCAAAATGATGCTGACACTTGGAAAAATAGTAGGGCCATTTCTTATAAAGTCAAACATGCACCTTCAGACATAACAATCCCACGTATTCATTTTACCCAAGTGAAACAAAAACGTATGTTCACACAAAAACCTGTATGCAAATATTTACAGCAGTTTCCATCATCTTTGCCAAAAAACTGGAACCACCTCAAATGTTCTTCAACTGGGAAATGGATAAACAAACTGTTGGACAGCCATACAATGATATACTGCCCAGCAATTTTAAAAAGAACTGATACAAACAATAACATAAATGAAGCCAGGCACGGTGGCTCACACCTGTAATCCCAGCACTTTGGGAGGCCAAGGCAGGTGGTTCAATTGAGGTCAGAAGTTTGAGATCACCCTTGCCAACATGGTGAAACTCCATCTCTACTAAAAATACAAAAATTAGCCAGGTGTGGTGGTGAGTGCCTGTAGTCCCAGATACTCAGGAGGCTGAGGCAGGAGAATTGCTTGAAATTCTGGAGGCAGAGATTGAAGTGAGCTGAGATCGCACCACTGCACTCCAGCCTGGTGACAGAGTGAGACACTGTCTAAAAAAACCTAAAAATAACATAAATGAATCTCAAATGCATTATGCCAGCAGTCCCCACTCTTTTTGGCACAAAGGACTGGTTTCACGGAAGACAATTTTTCCACAGAGGAGAGGTTGGGGGTAAGAGGCAGTGGGATGGTTTCGGGATGATTCAAGCACATTATATTTATTGTGCATTTTATTTCTATTATTATTACACTGTAATATATAATGAAATAATTATGCAAGTCGCCATATGTAGAATCAGCGGGAGGGAGCCCTGAGCTTGTTTTCTTGCAACTAGACAGTCCCATCTGGGGGTGATGAGAGATGGTGACAGATCATCAGCTGGAGTTAAGGTTGGCTGCTTCATCCCCTTCCCTTGCGTGCATGAAACAGGCAGGGCAGAAGAGGCACACGCACCACCTTTTCTTCTGCATTCCTGCAAAGTGGATTCTGAAGGTCCAGCTGATCCAGTTGAGCAGCTCTGCTAGGGAAGGGCTTCAAAAGAGTTGCTGGTAGATTTGGGGTTGTGATAAGAGGTCATGCATCTACAAAGAGCGGTGGTCACTGAGTGGGTGGCTGAGTGTCTTCCCACAGACCCAGAACCAATAGCATGTCAGAGGGTCATGGCAGGCTGGCAGGGACCCACTGATTCAGGTGTGTGTTTGATGATTCAGCCTTGCCAGTCCTCAGCCATGATCACAAAGAAGCATGTGAGGTCCCCATGCCTCTTGTGGTCCCCAGAAGGTAGGTTCTGGCTGCTTATGGTGAGCACTTTCAGGCACTGCAAGGGATGCAGGAATGGTCAAGCGTGAAGGCACCGCACCTCCTAGAGTGTGGCCCTCCACCCCACTGAAGAGCCTCTTCCTTGCTCCTCCAGGGAGTCCCACCTTCCACTCATAGATCTGGGACTTCAGGGGACACCATAGCTGCTCCTGGCTCCCTGGAAGGATGTGCTCAGGTGGCGTGCTAACTGAGGGGGTTCATCTTCAAGCCCTTCTGAAGGCCCCATAGCTGCTGGTCTTCACAAGAAAAGGACATCCAGGGCCAGTTGTCTCTCTTCCCAAATGTGGTCCTGGTCTGGGTGCCTCCCCAGACTCCTCCAGTGGGAAGGCCTATTTCTCGCCCCCCTCACCAGTTCCTGGCTCCCATGCTCTCTGCACTTCTGCACAATTCCCAGCCCCAGTGCCTCATGCGCCTCCCAGGTCAGCCCCAGTGAAAATGCTCAGGAAGGACAAGGGGCTACCCTCAGCCCTGTTGGAGGCATCTGATGGGTCCGGGTCCGTGCTCTTGAGCAAATTTCTGCCCTGGTTCACACATATGAGGCCTCACACACTGTATGGGGCTCTGTCGGGAGGCAGGTTCCCAGGGCCCTGCATTCTGGAACAACCCACCTAGCACAGAGCAGAGTGTTATCATGCAGTGGTTTAATTTTGCAGGTGTGTTATCCTGTGTGATTAAATTTTCAGCTTTACACCTTCATTTTCAAATTCCACTATGAACACTAGAATTCTGGTACACACACACACACACACACACACACACATCTGCCTGCTGGCTAGCAGGGATCCTTGTTGGCAAAGAACCTTCTCCCAAATGTCTCTAGAGAACACCCAGGCATTGGGGCAGCTGGCAAGACCACCTCCTCTGTGTGGGCCCCTGTCTCAGGTGGGCAGGGCTGTCAGAGCTTCAGGGCCTTCACAAGCTCACCCTGCTCTCCTGGGGCAGCCCTCATGCAGGGGTGGCCTGAGGACTTCCCAGTGTCCCCAACTTGAACACTGCCCCCCCATGTGTTTCATGGGATTTTGAATGGCAGATATTTAGAGGGAGGAGAGAGGTTCTATGATCACTGAATAGGCATTTTCCTTAGAAGATACACAATTTGCCAATTGGCTCAGTTTCATTCGTTGGTAAAAAAAAATACAAGTCAAACAACAAGTAATACTGATTAACTAACACCCACTTAAATGGCTATAGCAAAGGTACAATGACAAATGTTAGAAAAGAAGTGAGGAATATGGAACTCACATATGCTGCAAATGGGAGTGTAAAATATTGTAGCCACCTTGAAAACAAAACAAAACTAAACAAAACAAAATGGGGCTATTCCTCAAAATGTTGCACATAAAATCAATAGAGGACACAGAAACTCTAACCCAAAGTCAGTATGCAAAAGAAATAAAATTCCTATAATCATAAAGACTCTTACATGAATGCTCACGTGTGGTCTTGTCCATGCAAGAGAACACTACTTGCCATCCAAGAGGAATGATGTAATGATACACGCTACCACAGAAATGAAACCCAACATCATTAGGCTGAGTGAAAGAACCAGACCCAAAAGACCACATAATTCATGATCCTGGGTATTAGACATTTTGATAATAGGCTCATGTATAGAGACATAAAATTGTTGTCTAGATCTGACATGGCAAAGGAGAGTGAATGCAAAGTAGAACCCAGTAAAGCATTTTAAAAAATAAACATATCAACATACACTAAGGTACTTTTAACTTTCAGAAACCCAAGTCACACATTGTAAAAATGAAATATATTTCTTGTCCAGTTCAAAGCATAGTAAAGAAAAGGGAGGCAGCAAGCTAACAGGCACGTGTTTGGTTACTGACCTAGGGGTATTAATGGGCAGGAACCATCTGATTCATTTAACCAGGTCAGAAAAGCAAAGGAAATGATTTTAATTTGTAGAAGACTGCTGTGACTCACAGAGTGTTAGGAATGTGATGCTGTACTCACAGGGTTGGGCATATCCCTTATCAAGTACAGCTCAAAAGAGCCATTGCACAGGGAGGTCAGCAAGACCCTCCTGATCCCAGTTGCCGGGAGCTTTACAGTTGCCTATCCCAGCCCTAAAACTACATTCAGTCACTCATTCTAAACCCAAAGTAACAATGAAATCCAATACAAACCCCATATTTCATGACTACCACATTCAATAATTTGCTTTTTCTTTTCTTTTCTTTTTTCCCAGCCCTCCTCATTACTTCTGTTTGTATCCCTACCTGGCGTGGCTGGTTCCGGAACAAGTCTCTGTGTCAGAAATAAAAAGAATCTCAAAATCTCAGGCTGTGGGTCTGCGTTTGGTGCCAGGTGCCCTCCTTGCAGCACAGGAGCTATGGGGTGGGTGGACTTGGTGCTCACAGGGTGCAGATGGCCCCTGACAGTCCCTGGAGCCTAGATGTCACCTTGCACCAGGCCGCGGTCCCCTCAGCGCCAGCTTAGGGGGTCAGATTTCAATGAACACTGCGTCTGGCAGAGAAGGAGCAGGGGAAACCCCGGACCCACCCTCAGACTTGCACATCGCCAAGAAAACCCAGTTTCAATTCCACAATAAAAGGATGCAGAGGTGCATAGCTCCACCTGTTCCTGCTGCTGGCTTTCAAGGGGTGGCCCGTCTGTTCCCCAGGGCTCAAGGCGCTTCCCCGCCCAGGAGCCCCAGGACTCCCCAAAGGGAGTTTGCCCAGCGCCAACCAGGCAGAGGGGAGGAAGAAGCCAGTTTCATTTCCTTGCTCCAGGACCCAAAAAGGTCTGACCCTGGAAAACACCCCACCTGGGGTACTGGTGACCTCAGGAGCCCCAGGGATCGTCTCTCAGATGCCCTACAGAAAGGCCCTGCAAGACAGGACCTGCTGAGGCCCCTTCCTTCCACCCCTGACCCCTGGGGGGCTCATTATTCCTGTGAGAGCTCCCCTGGGTTATTCCTACCCACCCACATTGACCTCCAGCCTTGGAGCACCCTCACACTTTCTCCAGCCTTGGGGACTTCACAATTATTCCCCTCCAAAGACCCCTCCCAAAACTGCCTCCTGGCATCAGCGATGCTGTCACACCTTGGTGACTGCCTAGGCTGCCCCCTTCCCTGCCCCAAGCACCTCTGAGTCTCCATCATGACTTCCCCAGGTCTAGGGCTGTACTGAGACTGCACAGCGACCCCAACACACAGGGCTTCTTTTCAGCACTCCCTCAGACATCCTGCCCACCCTACAGGGGAGATGAGGCTCCACCGCCCCTAAATCGCACAAGGCACCTTTGTCACACAGGGGCGACCCTATGAATCCCTCTCCAGATATTCTTGGGCCTTCCCCCAAGGGAGACACCACAGGCGGAGGACTCCCCTGGAGGGGATCCTCAGAAACCATCCTCAAAGCCCCCATCACAACCAGAAAGACCCGACGAAGAAACGTGGCCACAAAACCCATCTCCACATACACACTCCCGTCAGTGGCAGCTCTAGGGACCCCACTCATGGTCACCTCACCCCATGGTGACCTCAAGATGCTCCCCCCCAGGTTAAAGGGAAAAGAAAGGAAGAATCCAGCAGAATTCCCACAGGAGAATTTATTTTCCTTTATTCATTATGCATTGGAGCTAAAGTGCAGAGCATGAAGGGTTTTATAGAAAATTTTAAGTTCTTAGTATAGTTTTCCATGGAAACTTTAAAAATTAACAGTGATAGAGATAATAGATAATAAACCCATTATGAGTACATTATCACTAGGTTTTAGCAAATCTCATTTTGCAGTTTAATTTCAACGATCAATTCCAAATATTCTAGGAGTTTTTTACATCAAATATAAGATACAATATCATTAATGATGGAAGAATGTAAGTAACTATATCTAACAAATGAAGATAAAAGAAAAAATATCATTATCACATCTAATAAAAATTTTAATATTTAAAATAGATTAATTCGTGTATTCGCCAAAGAGTAGACTCTACAACCACTGAAGGCTTTGCATGAAATGTTTTAACATGTTTCATCTAATATTTCATCTTCAGACACAAAATATCAATACACAAAAATATTCAATTATGTATACAGGGCCACAGATTATGTTTGGAGGAGGAAATAATAAATCAACAGTGGGATATTCCAAACTGCTTTATTGTGAATGGTAAATGCAAGAGGCCAGGCACGGTGGCTCTCACCTGTAATCCCAGCACTTATGGAGGCGGAGGCAGGCAGAATGAGGTCAAGAGATCAAGACTGTCCTGGCCACTGTGATGAAACCCTGTCTCTACTAAGAATATATAAATTAGCTGGGTTGGTGGTTCATGCCTGTAGTCCCAGCTACTTGGGAGGCTGAGGCAGGAGAGTCACTTGAACCCCAGAGGCAGAGGTTGCAGAGAGCCGAGATCCTGCCACTGCACTCCAGCCTGGCAACACAGCAAGACTCTGTGTTTTGACATGACCATTATAGGCCTGGGGGAAGATGAACCGATTTCATCTCTCCCTTTATAACCATGATGTGGGTGCCTCATTTCACATGCAGATTCTCTCCAAAGACTTGATGAACAGGCCTGAGCCCCCATGGTACTTGAAGTAATGACAGCCTTGTCCCCATGCCATTCTCTCTTCCCACACTTGTTGTTTTGGGCCATCATGCATTCAGTGCCTCAGTGGACAGAGATCCAAACCCAGGTACTCTCACAAATCTGGAGCCAATTCCAAAGTTGTTTGAATTCCAGCTCAGCTCAGACTGTCACCTGCTTGGGACTGTGGGTGACTGTGGACTCTGAACTGGGATGTGCTGTGCCCATATGACACTCTTCCTCCCCAAGAGTTGTTCAAGAAGGTGGTGCCCTAGGAATGCCATCTGGACTCAGTGGAACAAGAAGGGCAGGTAGCACCTGGCACCCACTGTTCATGCCACCATCACCCAGCTTCACAGTGTGGTTATTTGAAGAAGTCTCCACTCTATAAAAATCCTAATCAACAACAACAACAGCAACAACAACAACAATAAAAATTTTTTTAAAAAAGATAAAAAAAGAAAATCCTAATTTTTCTGGTCTTTTTCAGCAGGAGAAGTGATATTTTGTAGTCCCTATAGTTGACAAGTCCAGGGCTTTATAATGCTAATTTCTCTCTTTAAGATAAGATGGCATTAGTATGCCTAATGCCGATGAAATCCATGCTGACGGCCCTTGTCATAGCTGCGGCATCTTGATGCAGGTCTTTGTATTCACACAGCCGTGACATAGCCTAGGAAAGTCAATCAAAGAGAAAACGAGTACAATTTTTAAAAAGGCTCCAACATTTTTTAAAAGGCATCATTGATGAGAAACCACACATACAGATTCCTTTAGAGGGTTACCCTGCAGCTGCTTTGGCTGAGGTTTACACTCGGCCAGGTTCTGAGGATGCAACTCCCTGCCCATTCACTAAGGTCGTCTCCTTTAAGAGCTATGAAAAGACTGCCAGAGCCAAGAGGAACTTACTTTATAATTTTAAAATTGGGCTCATTGCTTGGTGATACTGTCACATAAAAAATAAAATAGGGCTCCTAAGAGTATTGTGACAAGCTTGTGACAATATTATCTGTTACCTGTGCACTTGTTCCTTCAACATACTCAACATACACTTGTGCCAAACAATCAGCTTATTCAGCGGTTCAAATTCTACCCAATCCTTAGTAGTTACTACACACTCCAAGCAGATTTTAACGAGACAGGCACATGCTGGGCTGTTTTGGAACACCCAAGAAGCCTAATGATTGAAGCTACTTTACTTGCACATTGTGGTAAATAAATGTATTATTCCAAAGTACCACCAAAACACCAGAGACAGTGCCAATTTTAAACGTGTCTATTTCAGTTGGAACTTTCCTGTATACTCACCAACAGTCATAAACCATAAATCTTACATTGTCCCATGAAGCCATTTTCACTAAAAACCCATGTCCTTCCTACACCTAGTACTTGAACTACTGGCACCTTATACAGTGTAAGCACAAGTCTCTCAGCCACTACTGCTTTGTCTAACAAACTCCTGGGACTGCACTGAGATATATAGAATAGACAAGGACACAAAATTGCAAACTGCTTAAGTAAAAGGCAGTCAAGAGCAGTAAGTGCATTGTCTATTTAGATATAATTAGGAATACAACTGCATTTATTCATGAATGTTATGTGAACAAGTAGAGATTAAAAACAAAACCCAAAAGAACAGATTAAATTTAATTAAAAATGTTCTGAATTATGGTCAAAGCAGTGAGAATATCAATAATTTTTTAAAATATAGAGCCTTGGCTGGTGCAGTGGTTCATCTCTGTAATCCCAGCACTTTGGGAGGCCAAGGCGGGCAGATCACCTGAGGTCAGGAGTTCGAGACCAGCCTGACCAACATGGAGAAATCCTGTCTCTAATAAGGATACAAAATATCTGGGCATGGTGGTGCATGCACATAATCCCAGCTACTCGGGAGGCAAAGGTAGAAGAATGGCTTGGGCCCAGGATGCGGAGGTTGCAATGAGCTGAGATCGCACCATTGCACTCCAGCCTGGGCAACAAGAGTGAAACTCCTTCTCATAAAATAATAATAATAATAAGGATTCTTGTATAAAGCATAAAAGACAAGAAATATGATGCCAAAGAAATAAGCACTTTGGTCTGTTAATTTTAAGGCTTTCATTTTCCTAATCACTACTTAATATGATTTTGTCACAGATGTTGGCTTTTGTGGCCAATGGGAAACTTCACTAAGTGACTTCACAGCCTTACCTTCAATTTCTGCGCTATATGTTTGTGAAGAATACTAAACTGAAAATCCAGTTCATGGTCGTATGGCAAGGCACACAGGTCAAAGTAATATTTCACATAAACACTGGCAGACACATGAATTTTAAACTCGAGTAGCTCCAAAAAACTCTTCTCCATCTTACTCCTGGGGGAGGAGAAACATAATAAAGCCAACACAGGTCAATTTTAGTCCAGTGGGTTATCTTTAAAAATATCATTCTGAGCTACTAAGATGCTCCAAATTCTGTTTTGAAACAAATAAAGGCTGACTGGTAGGGTCCTTACACTAATGTCCAAACAAGGCACAGCTGCTTGGGGTCTCTTCATCATCCCAGCACCCCAAATTTTGGATGAGGGATAGGTAGAGGCCTCTTCTGCACTCCTGCTACTGACCTGGGGCTTATTCTTCACAGTTTCCTTGGGGCAGCTGCACAACTCAGACTCCACACGCACTCACAAACCCCGCAATCACAATCAGATGACAGGAATGATGGGTACCATTTAGTAGTTCTGAAGAAGCTCCAGGCGTGTTTACCAGGATGATAACAGGAAGGGACTTACTGAAGTAGAGAAGCACCAACAGGAAGATGGGGCACATCACCATGGCAACAAATGGACCCATGGAGACCCACCCTATTACCTCGGAGGAGGAAAAGCTCTAAGGAGGATTCATCCCAAATAAATACATAAGCAAGATACATTCCATGGCAAAAAGAATCCCCCTCCCTCTGCTCCAGTACACAAGGCTATGTCAAGGAGGCATAATGCAAGTTTCTGCTCACCTTAATATTATGAAGAGACTGGGGAAGAATAACATTTACAATTTGAAAGGCAGAAAAGTCAAGGAGAGACATTTTGGCTAGACTAAACTCACTTTATAATGTGATTTATAGTAGGGCTCTGGCCTTAACACATGCAGTGTTGCTCTTGGGTTGGGAATGCAACCCTGAAGAACTCAGTATCTGTCACCACTGGGCAGAATAGAATGTGGGGCTGTTGGATGCAATGGGAGAGGAAAGGACTGGGAGCCGTCCTCTGCCTCATGGTCATCCAGCTGCCCTCACCAAGGCTAAATTAATAGGTACACAGTTAGAGTCATTCTGGCTGCTTTCAGAATAACCCCTGTAAGAAGTTAATTGCTTAAAAATGATCAATATCTGAACAATACATTTGGTTTCTTGGTTTGAAAATTTTAACATTTTACCCACTGGCTTGAAAGTGGAGGACAGTTAGACCACAAGCCAAGATGTGAGGATCTCATTTGCTGAACTTAAAACTCAACTGAGAACACATGGACACAGAAAGGGGGGTACTAAACACTGGGGTCTATTGGGGGGAAAAGGGGAGGGCCAGTGGGAGGGGGAGGTGGGGAGGGATAGCCTGGGGAGAAATACCAAATGTGGGTGAAGGGGAGAAGGAAAGAAAAGCACACTGCCATGTGTGTTCCTATGCAACTGTCTTGCATGCTCTGCTCATGTACCCCAAAACCTAAAATCCAATAAAAAATTAAAAAAAAAAAAAAAACTCAACTGAACCTACTTCCAAAATTAATTTCCTGTTCACATATCCATAAGTCTATAGAAATGTAAATCAAACAATATTTGAATAGACAGCTAATCAGGACCTGACTTACTACAGGAATTAATGGCACTTTATGAAATTAACATATCTATTAATAGAGGTTTAATCACTGAAGAGAAGAATTCTGTGTACAGACTATGCATCTTCTAGGATTTCTGGTTTTTGAAAAGGCTAGATGATTGAATAGCATACCCTTTATGACACAGCATTTCTGAATAGTGGCTACTCAGTTTTACTCTCTAGAAAGGAAATATATTCTAGGGACACACAGAGATGTTGGAAAGTTTTAAGAAAAATCTGATGGACAGCAGTTTTTATCTGTTAAACTGACACTCAAAATGGGGTCACTGCAAACAGTCAACAGCAGGGGGGTGAGACACATGTCTATTAAATGCTTGGATGTAATGCCTTCCAGCTTCCCAAGACCATACACAGAAGCAGCCTGTTCGGAGCATAGCTCCTGGTGTTTCTCCGTTCACACACACACAGCTCTGTTTGGAGTCAGTCTTCTTGGGGCTGGCCTCTGCCTCCACTGCTCCTGAAGCTCACTTCTGTGGAAAGCTGTACATATCCCCACATGCTCTCTGATCTTGTAACTAGAAATCAGAGCCCCAGCCAGCTTAGCTGCAGGTTTTGAGAACAATTCAGCTGCCAAAATGGCAGAACTAAGTGTTCATGATTACAAATTTGAAACCACCTTTGCAAAAATTGTAACTAAGAAAATTATGACAGTGAAAGAGGGCTGATCTGACTTCATCTCACTTCTAACCTCCAAGCTGTCCTTGTTCATTTCTATGCGGAGGCCGAAGTAACTTTGGAAGGAACTTAGTTTGTAGTTTGACTTTAAAATAAAGATGGTAATGACCCTTTCCCAAAACAAACCCCTTTCCCACCTGGGGACTAGATAGATGACCTTTCCAGAACTAATAAATTAGCCACAAGATTAGAAATTGTGGCTTAGGAGTCATGAGGCTGAAGGCTGCAAGAATCTGAACCTCCCCATATTGCTCCTGGGAATGACATCACTATTGTAAAACCTAAAATCAGTGCTTGAGATATTTTGCAGACCTTGTACTGGGTTCAGGTGGCACCACCCCAACAAATAAACGTGGCTCATCTGGTTCTGTGGCCCCCACCCAGGAGCCAACTCAATGCAGGAGGACAGCTTCAACTCCCTATGATTTCATCGCTGACCTGACCAATCAGTACTCCCCACTTTCTGACCCCATACCCACCAAATTATTCTTTTTAAAAACCATCCCAGAGTTTTCAGAGAGACTAATTTGAGTAATAGTAAAACTCCGGTCTCCCGTACAGCTGTCTCTGCATGAATTCAACTTTTTTTCTATTGCAATTATCCTGTATTGATAAATCAGCTCTGGCTAGGCAGCAGGCAAGGAGAAGTCAGGCAGTCACAAATCTTGCTTCCTTTGAGGGACCAGTTTGCAAATGGATGACTATGATTAAAGTCACTTTAGCATTTGCAACTTTCAAAATACTTCCATTTGTTTCAAATTCATTTGCTGTCACACTCTTTGCTAAAATGGCTACCACATATATTGCAATGATCACTTGGTTTATACTCTTAGCAAAGTGGTGGCAAAAAATGTTTTTTTATTTGTTTCTGAGAGAGAATCTGGCTACATCACCCAGGATTGGAGTGCAGTCACGTGATCACAGCTCACTACAGCCTAATCTTACCAGGCCCAGGCAATTCTCCCACATCAGACTCCCAAGTAGCTGGGACTACTACAGGCCCCTGCCAACACACTTGGCTAATTTTTAAAAAAAATTTTTGTATGGACAGGGTTCACTGTGTTATCCAGCAGGTCTGAACTCCTGTGCTCAAGCGATCCACTCACCTCGGCCTCCTGAAGAGCTGGGATTACAGGCATGAGTCACTGAGCTCAGACGCCAAGTAGTTATTTTTGAATGTAGATATGTACACATTGCAGCATATCTACAATATACACTACATCTTCATCTGTAGACAAACACTGAGGTGATTCTGAATAACAGTCCTATCTGGAGTCATGGGCAAAGATCACAAAACTAACTTGTCCCACTGCCTGGCATCATCTTTTCTGCTGCTGCTCAATGTAAACAAGAGCTGCTCCCTTGTCTTGCACCAGATGCAGCTGACACAGCTGTCCTCACTTTCCAGCAGGCACCCAGGACAGCTCTGCTGGAAATGCCCCCTTGCTCACCCTGCCTGCTTGCTTCAGGTCCCTTCACTTCACAGCAGTCACAAAGCCAAATTAGAAGGGAACCCTGGGGAAGCTGTGTTTCAGTGTCATGTTGGTGCATCCGGGAGGAACCCCATGACCCCGCAAGGCTCCCCCCAACTCTCATAAACAACTACTGGCCCCCAGCCTGCTTCTGTGAATGTCTGAGTACCCAGGGAGCCTGTGAGTGTGGTGGGCATGGGGTGATGCCCCAGAAATGCTTCTCACACTGTGGGAGGTGAATGTGGAAGCTTCTAACCGATTTTCAAACACATGCAATGTTCCCAATGGGGAGGAGCCAGGGCACAGAACATCATACCTCAAGGTTCCTATAAAAACAGATCTTCAGATTAAAGGGGGTAGACAAGGACCAGCAAAAGCAAATACACAATGGGTGGCTTAGGTTAAAGCTGTAACTTCTGCATAGTCCAGAGACCTTAAGACCTTAACAGTGGCCAATTATTTCGAAGGCTAGATGTTTGCCCCTTAAAAGGGGACTGAAACTGGCAGGTGGCTTCTAAAAAGCTATAAAGATATTTACTATACTGTGTCATTCTGACAGCACACTTGTAAGAGGTTTGCCAAAAAAAAAAAAAATCAGAAAAACATTTTCTAGTTTATCAGCCAGTTGTTACAACAATAACACATCAAGACTTACCCATTATTGCTGGAAAATATAAACTGTTATACTAAGGCTGGATAGATTGAAGTCTGTGGTCTTATGCCTATTTCCTTTATCTGCACAATAAAACCTATAAAGATATTTCTTGCAGTGATAACTTGGAGAGCAAATGAGGCATGGAAAATGATGACAAAGTTTGCCCAAACCTTAGAAACTCACATTGTCTCAACTGCAACATCCTTGGGATTCTGGCTGTCATCCACACTCCACAGACCACGATCTCTCCAAACCTTGGAGGCCAGAAGCATGGCTCCGAGGACAATTTTTTTCCAATTAGTAGGACAAAGATCGATGTTAGCTTTAGTTAAAAGGCGTTCAATGTACACCTGCAAAATAGAGCACTTGTCTTTGATTTCAGTTCTGTTTCAGTGTGGTGATAAGAACATTTCAGAATGAAAGACTTCTGGTTTTGGCCAGAAAATAAGTGCCTTTTATTCTTACGTTCTGCAGAGACTTTGCTCAGATGAAGCGAGAGGGCAAGTCACAGTCATAGTCAGATACCTCTGCAGCATACTCTGCCCACAGAACTTTCCATGCCAATTTCATTCACAGGGATGTGAGCATGAAGAAAGGCACCTTCAGCACCTTCACACTCATGAAAGGCAGCACAAACACGGGCCTCGTGCAGATTAAGATTGTTCAGGAAACACTACTGTGCCATCTGTGTGCAGCATCACACTTGGCTGGCAGGTAGATAGGAATGTGTTGCCTGTTCCCATCCTGCTCCCCACAGCTCCTCCAGGACATCCTCTCATTTGCTCACAGTGTCATGCCCTGGTTTCAGCTCCTCACCTCCCATCTCTCCTTATCCACCCCCCACCCCCATCACTCACCTGAGACTTCTCTTGCCGAGGTCCCTGGAGCCTTCACACCCACAAACCAGAGCCCTTCACCCCAAGGCTCCACTCCCCAACCTGGCCCTAATCTTGTGAGTTTACCCTCCTCCAATCCATGTGCAATCCCTCTATGGCTAACTTCACTGGTAGGCTGCCTGCTTCAGATTCTGGGCCACCATGTGTCATGGCTCACCTGTAACAGCCTAGTTGCTTCTTAGTCCTCTTCTCTGCCCCAACCCTCCTCCCAACTATGGTCTACTCTCCCCAAAACAGTTGTGATAACCTCTAAATTAAGGACACTTCACTCTCCTGCTCAAGATCTACCATTAGTCCCCGCTTCAAACTGGAATAAAACCTTAACTTCGTCCCCTGGTCTGCAAGCCAAAGGGCTCTGTGAGTTATGGCACTGCCTGTGCGACCTCATCTTTTCCATTTTTTCCTTCATTTCTCTCACAGGTGGGCTCTCTGCTGTCTGTTCCTTGAACACACATGAAATATGTTCTTGTCTCAGTCTTGGCACTCATCACACTGCCTGTATGCCAGCTCTCCTTATCATCCTCACTTTATAGTCAGGTCACTGCTCAGATGTGACCTCTCTAGAGAGGCTCTTCCTGATCATTCTATCAGAAACAGCGAGCCCCTCCCATCACTCTCTCTGTATCCTGCTTTATCATTTTGCTATTTGCCGTTACCTAAAAAAAGAAATGCTTTCCTCATTAAAGAAAATGTCTCATAAAGACAAGGACTGTGCTCGACCTGTCCTCTTCTCTGCCCCAGCACTTAGAAGAGTGGCACAGGGTTGGCATCCCAGGGGTGTTTATGGAATGAGCACCTTCTTGGCAGCATGTAGCACTGTGACCACAGCCTTTCCTATTGTGAACACTTTGTTCTTATTTTTTTCTGCTCTTCCTCCTCCCACTCTGGCACTTTACTGGGGGTTTGTGCCTCACATGCTGGTAGTCTTTACAGAGCCATCTTTTGTCCATCTTCTCTTTTTTTCCTTTTCCTGAGTAGCTGTGACTATAGGTGTGTCCCACCATGTCCGGCTTGTCCACTTTTATTCTAAACACCTTCTTTGCATTTGAGCAGCTACTCTTTTTTTCTTTTTTTTTTTCCAGAGTTTTGCTGTTGTTGTGCAGGCTGGAGGGCAGTGGTGCAATCGTGGCTCACTGCAACCTCTGCCTCCCAGGTTCCAAAGATTCTCCTGCCTCAGCCTCCCAAGTAGCTGGGATTACAGGTGTTCACCACCATGCCCAGGTAATTTTTTGTATTTTTTAGAAGAGACAGGGTTTCACCATGTTGGCCAGGCTGATCTCTAACTCCTGACCTCAGGTGATCCACCTGACTTGGTCTCCCAAAGAGCTGGGATTACAGGCATGATCCATCATGCCTCGCCTTGAGCAGCTACTCTTACTCTTCATTCCTTACCTCTAGCTCAGATTCATGCTCCAGTCCCATAGATCCAAATGATGACTACACTGCTCAGATTCATGCTCCAGTTCCGTAGATTCAAATAATGACTGCACACATCATTCTGCTATCTCACAGGCACACCAAATTTAGCCTGTATACAGTGAACTCCCCCTTCTTCCAATCCAGCTTTCCCTCCTGCATCAGCTCACTCTCTCTCTATCTGGAAGTACCACTCCTGCTTCCCTCCGGCATGTGCTGAGCATTCCCAATGGCTGCAGCTCCATGAAATGGCCTGCATCTGATCCAGTGCTCACAGAGAGGTTTCTATGCAGGTGCCCAGCAGAAGCCTTCACCCCTAAGTTCTAGCCAGATGCTAAAGGAGAGGGTACTGCTCTAAGTATCCTTTCTCTCCAGGCCGTGTGGTTGACATTCCTCTACAGGTTAGTGTGGGGAGGGGCAAACAATCCCAGCCATCTGAACAGGACTTTATATTCAGAATGAGTCTCACCACAGGAATTCTGTGAGAACCATGTAGAGGTAAGGACACAGCTGTGGCTTGGCAGGCTAACTAGCAAAGCCCATGTCCAAGTCTTACGGGTTCCACATTCCTGGGCAATTTCCTGAGCAGGCACAAGAGGTCACCAGGAACAACAAAGCATTCAGAGCAGCAGCTCCAGGTCAGAACTGTGGGGAAATACAGCCTGGAACTCAGCTTAGACCTACATGGGAATCTGTTGAGGGAGAAACCAGAAGTCTCTCCCACTGCTTTTAGTAGCAATTATTCTGTGATAAGAAAAGCAATGGCATCATTTTAAAACACGACGATGATTAAACTCTAATATGTGTATTTACTTTGCTTACATAGGTTTCTCTTAAAAGATCTGATGATAACTTTAGGAACTGACTTTTATTTAGAAACATGGCCATACGCTGTGTAGGAGACCAGTTATTAAAGCTGCTTTATAGATAAGAAATAGCTTACCAATGCTACGATCGCACATGGAGTTGTTAGTTCTGCGACTGCAAAAATATTACAGAAATAACTGAAAATGCATTTGTGTGTGGGATCGTCCTCAAAGGATTTCCCTGGAATCTCTTCTTGCTGAAAGAAGAAAAAGGCAATATAAATATTCATTCAAGAAAACTTCTTAAGTACTCTTAAGTTCAAATTTGTGCCCACGTGTCCCTTACAATAATTTTGCTGGGATAAAATGTCTTTTAGTTCTAAAAATATAAACAGTAGGATCTTAAAATATTTTTGGTTTTCTGTAAACATAGGTGCTAAGGTGGCCCTGTGGCTATCACATACCTGAAGAAGGAAGTTTTTAAGTTTTTATAGCATTTAAACAAATTTAAATTTAAATTGTTTTCTAATACTATTCACAGAATTTGTGCATATTTGTTAGGACTACTTACAACTATTTATATTGTTTGCTGCTATAAAAAATTATCTTTTAAAATGACACATTTTGTTATTTGGATGGTATGTTTATTCCCCTTAGTGCACAAATTAAACAAAGCTATAAGTCAGCTCTTACTCCAGTGTGTCCAATTTACAACACTCCTTACATAAGATGATTGGATACAACTTAGTGAAGACTTAATGGTGGATGATTTTGACTTCATCAAGAAATAAACACAACTCTATAAGACATGAACAGAACCTCAGAGAAAGTGACACTTACTGAAAGTGGATGTATTGACTCATCGAAAATAGCCAGAGATCTATTTGCATATCTGTAAAAGAAGAATGTGAATTTAAGAAATTAATTCAGGAACTGTTAATATCTTAGTAAAGTATCTGCTGGGAGTAGGGCATGGAGGGTGGAGGGAGATATTTCTTGTTTGCTTTGGTAAAATTTGTTCACCAAAACTGTTGTTGCCCATTTTTCTCCTGGATCCTGGCCTTCAGAGGGTTTCTTGACCTCTTTTTCATCAGCACATCACGTTCTGAACTGGGAAGTCTTTTCTACATTGATGAGCCAGCCTTGCCTTTAAATACTGACCCCGCTAATAGGCAATGGGAATAAACTGTATCTATTTTTACTGCTCTAACCTCATGGTGGAACACAAGAACATTTTAGAAAGCAGTAGTTGTTGGCAATAAAGATTATAGAACTTTTTAAATCAATTAAGACTTCCGAAATCTTTATTATACTTTATGTTTGCTGAAGTAGTTTGAGTTACAGACTTAATTGCCTTTTTATTTGAAAAGAGGCAGTCGTTAATGAACTTTTAAAAACTAACACATTATGTGATCATTAAGGAAACAATGGTGCTACCAATCGTGGTTTGTGGACCCCTGAGATTCTCTAGGAGACCCATGATGTCAAAACTGGTTGTTGTTGTTGTTGTTGTGTTGTTGTTATAGGGTTTTGCCTCTTTCACCAAGGATGGAGCACAGTGGTACCAACCTGACTCACTGCAGGCTTGACCATGGGCTCAAGCAATCCTCTGCCTCAGCCTCCTAAGTAGCTGGGACAAAATGTCCCACACTACCATGCCCAGCTGATCTTTTTTTTCTGATAGATGGGGTCTTGCCACATTGCCCAGGCTGGTCTCAAACACCATGATTCAAAGTAATTCTCCCATTTTGGCCTCCCAAAGTGCTGGGATTACAGGTGTCAACCACCATGTATGGCCCAAACTGTTCTCAAAAGAATACTAATTCAACCTGAGAAGCTGATTGAAAATAAAACACACAATTTATTACTTTTTTAAAGTATTAAGACATGACTGCTTCCTTCCTGTTCAACACTTGTAATGACTGTTTAAAAGCAAAAGTGGGTAAAACTGATGGTTTCTCAGTATGAATAAGGGCAGTGGTACCAAATTATACCAGTATTCATTCCACTCTTCACTGCCCCTTGCAGTTTTTTTTTATTAAAGTAGCCTGTTTCACTGAAGAATGTCCTTGATGAAACAGTAAAAATTAATGTTGTTATTAAACCTTGACCTCTCTTTTTAGTATTCTAAGTAGAAAGTTCACATAAAGCACTTCTGTATACTGAAGTATGGTCATGTTAAAGAAAAGCAGTTGTGATTTAATTGTGAGCTGAGCAAGCCAATTTTTCACAGAACACCATTTTTATCTGAAAGTATAACTGACTATTATCTATAAAATTAAGTCAAGAGAGTCTGCCATTGCAAGGAAAATAACAAATATTTGTCTATAATAAAGCTAAAACTTTCAAGGTAAAAATCAGGACTTTGAAAACTCATACCTACTACTGTGAGCTTGACAGCATCTCCATATCTGAAGACATTTTTATAATGGTGGTGATACTAATGAAAGTGAGTTTTTGACACTATAAATAGACCAAGTAGCCAATGCATAACATTGTAAAAGCCAGTAAGGGGAAAGATCCATTTATTGTACAAGAAAGATC